ACGCCCTCACGCCCTCACGCCCTCACGCCCTCACGCCCTCACGCCCTCACGCCCTCACGCCCTCACGCCCTCACGCCCTCACGCCCTCACGCCCTCACGCCCTCACGCCCTCACGCCCTCACGCCCTCACGCCCTCACGCCCTCACGCCCTCACGCCCTCACGCCCTCACGCCCTCACGCCCTCACGCCCTCACGCCCTCACGCCCTCACGCCCTCACGCCCTCACGCCCTCACGCCCTCACGCCCTCACGCCCTCACGCCCTCACGCCCTCACGCCCTCACGCCCTCACGCCCTCACGCCCTCACGCCCTCACGCCCTCACGCCCTCACGCCCTCACGCCCTCACGCCCTCACGCCCTCACGCCCTCACGCCCTCACGCCCTCACGCCCTCACGCCCTCACGCCCTCACGCCCTCACGCCCTCACGCCCTCACGCCCTCACGCCCTCACGCCCTCACGCCCTCACGCCCTCACGCCCTCACGCCCTCACGCCCTCACGCCCTCACGCCCTCACGCCCTCACGCCCTCACGCCCTCACGCCCTCACGCCCTCACGCCCTCACGCCCTCACGCCCTCACGCCCTCACGCCCTCACGCCCTCACGCCCTCACGCCCTCACGCCCTCACGCCCTCACGCCCTCACGCCCTCACGCCCTCACGCCCTCACGCCCTCACGCCCTCACGCCCTCACGCCCTCACGCCCTCACGCCCTCACGCCCTCACGCCCTCACGCCCTCACGCCCTCACGCCCTCACGCCCTCACGCCCTCACGCCCTCACGCCCTCACGCCCTCACGCCCTCACGCCCTCACGCCCTCACGCCCTCACGCCCTCACGCCCTCACGCCCTCACGCCCTCACGCCCTCACGCCCTCACGCCCTCACGCCCTCACGCCCTCACGCCCTCACGCCCTCACGCCCTCACGCCCTCACGCCCTCACGCCCTCACGCCCTCACGCCCTCACGCCCTCACGCCCTCACGCCCTCACGCCCTCCCTTGACAATAACAATAATAACATCAATAATAACAATGATAATAAACGGAAAAAAAATAATAACGATAATCATAACAATAACACTGATAATAACAATAACAACAATCACCGCGAGGAACTGACCTGTAGTCGTTGAAGGCTGTTACGAAGACGACCACGACGACTGCCGCTAAGATGGCCACGCCCTCGATCCACGGGGGCGCCTGCTCCTGCTCCTCACCTGCGCGAGGGGGGGAGGGGAGGGGGCGTTAGTCATTGGGGCGTGGGGCGCGGGGTTCATCTGGGAGCTGTGTGTGCGTGGGTGTGTGTGGGTGTGAGCGCGTGTGTGATCTTAATTATATATGTGTGTGTGTGTGTGTGCGTGTGTGTGTGTGTGTGTGTGTGTGTGTGTGTGTGTGTGTGTGTGTGTGTGTGTGTGTGTGTGTGTGTGTGTGTGTGTGTGTGTGTGTGTGCACATTAATCTCAATGTAATTTACATTTTCTTTATCCCCTATAAAATTTTCATTCCTCAGCATTGCATTCTCTTTGTGTAAAGAAAAACTCCTTTATCTTTCAGAAAAAAATGTGTACCCTATTAAAAATATTCATCACATTTCATAGACGTTCTAATTCATTTCGTTCGCCTGCATCTTGCTTGCTTATAGAAATATAATTTTGCTATTTTGTTCTAAGGCTGATGTAGGCAAACAATCACCATAGCCTTGAGAATATAGTACTTTTGTTTTTACGTTGATCAAGGTCAGGAGTACTCAACTATTATGAGCAAAGGTCCATTTAGACAACTTCCAGTACATGCAGAGGTCCGGATAAATCTTTGTCTTATTTATACAAAATATAAAGCTAACTAGTGGAAATAAAAAAGAAAATTAAAAAGGTTACATTTTGTAGCTAAACTATAACAAGACTGGGATATTTTTTCTCTCAGAAACAATTGAAGTGGAGAATCTTTAAATGGATAAAAATGTATATTTACTGTTATGTGCATCGCTATTTCATTTTATTTAATCATACTTTTCCCTTCCTGGAGCCTGGTCTAGATTCGTAGAGTAGTTGAGCAACCCCGATATAGTTTATTATAATAGCTCATTACGTTCATCACTCTATTTACTGCCGTATAATTACAGGGATGATTTTATTTGATTATTAAAATCTTGCTGCTCTACCAAGTGAATATTCTGATTTTCATCTAACTTGCTTTTTTTTTCATAATGGATATTCGGACATCTGATATTAACGGCCAGTATGCTTAAATAAATCGTGTGACACATGTCAGTTCCTCGCACCATTTTCTCGTTTTTAAAATCTTATGAGGCTTTTACACAGCTGCAGGGCTGTCAGTTACGTGGATATAATGATTATATTCTTGTTTTTGGCAAATCTGTTGATTTTTCTCTTTTTTCTTTTTTTTTTTTCTTTTTCTTTTTTCTTTTTTTTTTTTGCAGTATTAGTCCTTAGTAGAGATTTTGTGCTTCGATTAACGTATCCTACATCTTTATCAAGCGTACAGT